GGCGTCTCGGTTCTTTCCTCCCTCCCTCCTGTGAAGAGTGCCTTCTGTAATTTGGGCTATTCCCTAAGACGAGTCCCGGAAGAGACGTTTGGACTGGGCCGACCGACCAGGCCACGACCAGGCCACGCCAGGTGTGCCACATCACACCCTCACCCAGCTGGGTCTGGAGACTGGATCGGGTCCCTCTCGGGGCAAAAGGAAAGACAGGGTTCCTCCTCCCCATCAGCCCAGATCACTTTGGAAGGTGGGCACAGAGCCAGATCTGATCCTGCTGGTGAAAGCTCAGCATCTCAGGGAGGGGGGGGTCCATGCAAGGAATGGCGGTGACCCTTCCCTAGGCATGCCTTGAAGGCTGGCACCGTCACTTCCAGGCGTCACTGAGCGGGGGTGGAAGACGACCATGGCTGGGTGGGAGGCCCTGCCTCCTGGGAACCAGACCCCCACCAGCCGTACTCCAGGCAGCCCACAGACATGGAGAGCCCAGGAGACACGCAGACCTTCTGTGAACTACCTACCAAATAATAAAATGTCTGGGGGACTCTGGGATCCCCAGAGCTGTTCCCCTGGGCCCACCCAGCCAGCTACTCAGCCTGCATGTGTAGTTCTTCAGTTTTACCACTAGAGGGGCCCCGTGAGCCAGCCTACCTGCCCTGGCCTCCTGGGGCGCTGGGTTCCCAGGCCTGGAGGAACCTTGACTATGGAGCAGCTGTGTGCGCACTGCAAGGCCTCAGAGCCACGCCCCCTGCTGGGCATCGGGCCACTGGATCTCAGCCCTGACCCTCCCAGCTGGGCACACCAGGACCCGCCTCTCCCTTTGGGCCCTCTCACAGTGGCACTCAGAAACCCTTGGGGAGCTCAGAGTTCATGGGGTGTAACCCCGCCCCCAGCGAGGCTGGCTCTACTGGTCTGGGTGTGGCCTGGGCAGCAGGACTTGGGAAGGCTGCCCCAGGACGCTCACGTGCAGCCCAAGGGGGGATGTCTGTTCTAGTCGTCTGGCACCAGGGACCACTCAAGGAGGACTTCCTACTGCACCATCATGTGCCAGGAGCCGCAGGGGATGGAGAAGCAGCAAGGAGCCCCCTCTCTGCTTCCGGGGACCAGGAGAGCACACTGGGCACAAGCTGCAGAGGGGCAAGGAAAGGCCGGGAAATGCCGACTCCAGGGCCCGCCCTTCTCCAAACCCACATCTGCTTCTTCATTTACTGTTTTGCAGCCCGTCACGCAGAACAGGCTCGTTCCACACCAGACCTGATGGGAGGCAGGGTGGGGACTGGGCTTAACCATGCTGTGGCTTGGATAAGGCTGGAGTGTCCCCCTGGAGTTCCTGTGCTGGAAGCCTGGTCCCCCGTGGGGTGGTGTTGAGGTGGGGGGGCCTTTAAGAGCTGGGGCCTGATGGAAGGTGGTCAGGTCATTGGGGGTGTGCCTCAACGGCATGGGCTCTGAGGACTCGGGTTATTTCTCTCAAGAGGGTTATTGTAGAAGAGCGTGCCTGGCCCCTGCGCACCCTGGCTTTCTGTTTTGCTCTGTGACCTCGCTGTCCCGCACACACTCCCCCTACAATGCCCTCTGCCATGATGGGCCGCAGCCCAGGGGGCCCTCACCAGAGGACAATTTGATGGGGACTTTTAGCCTCCAGAACTGGTGGCTGAACGAACCTCTTTATAAATATCCAGCCTCAGGTATTTTGCTGTCATAAGAAAACGGACTAACACAGGGTGTCCAGTGAGCCTCAGCCAAACTGCACGGTACAGGATGAGGGGAAGGCGCACCTGTCAGGGGCTCAGGTGGAGAGGCCCAAGGCACAAGCACACTGAGGCTGCAGCCGAGAGTGATGAGCAGGGGAGGGGAGGAGGTGACCACTCCCCAGCACCAGGCTCCGGTCCCTAGGCCAGGCTTGCTGACCACATACCCCAGCCTAGCACTTGACCTTCACGCTGACTGACCTTGCAAGAAGGGGTTCTGGGCCACATTTCAGACCTAGGAGGCAACTGAGTGTCAAACGCACAAAATTATACAACAGCAGGGGAAGCAAGGCTTAGAGCAGACGTGTCCAAAGTTCCTAGTGAACCACTGACCTCCCGACAGCTGCCAGCAGGCCCTGCAGCCTCGGGAGGGACCCAGGCTCTGGCCCAAGAAGGGCAAGGCGAGGAGCGCCCTCCTCAGCCCCTTTGGAGGGATGGCGGTTCCCCCAAAATCCAGAGGCAAAAGCCTTCTTGGAGCCAGCTGATTCTTCTGCCCAGGCTGGGGTCAGGAGAGGGGAGGAGGTGGAAGCCTGGGTAAAGGGGACCCATGACAAGGGCTGGGGTGCTGGGTATGGCTGGGAGGGAGGCAGCTAAGCACCCAGAGTGAGCCTGGGCACCCCCTTCCACCCTCTGGGTGCCAACATCGCCCATCCTCGGCTGTAAGAAAGCACCTGGTGTGGCCACGCGTCCCGGGGACAGAAGCAGCCCCCGTGGGCATCACTGCTCTGGAGGCACCTGGAGATGCTGGGCATCGGGTCTGTGTGGAAGCCCGGGGCGACCCCTGAAAGCCACGCTGCAGAGGATGGAAAGGGCAGCCGGGGGTGCTTTCTCACAAAACCCCCTAGGATGGATGTGATCACCTTTCAACAGGTAAACCGAGAGGGAAGAGAAGGAACCTTCTCAGGTTCAGGCCAACCAGGTGCCAGACTCACCCTGCACACAGCTTCCTAATTCCCAAACGTGTACTCCTAGCAAGGCGAGGCTGCTGGACAGACAGCAGACAGACAGACAGCTCTGAATTACATCCTCAGCCCTGAGACCGCGGACCAGCCTGCCACCCCTGTGGGGCACAGTGAGGGATAAAGCAGGTGAGGAGCCTTTCACTCCGCCTGAGCCCTGGGGTGCAGGAAATCCAGCACTGCGCTGCACTGCCAGCGTGGCACCACCAGGGGGTGCTCTGACTGGCCTGGCCGTGGATCCCGCTGGACTAGAGGTTCATGCCCAGCTGGTCCCCAGCCCAGGACACCACAGGACTCAACAGACCTCAGTGGGGACACAGTCCTTCTTATGGCCAAGTGGTACCTTTCATCTCAAGCACCTGAGACAGACATCGTCAGTGGACTCTGTTGAGGGGATCAAACCAGGAGGGTGTCCATCTGAGTTGACTTCCTGCTGAACCCACAAAGGTTCCAAGTCCCTCGACCCCTTTCTCCCTGGCTCCCATGGGTCCATCCCTGGTGAAGACCTAGCTGGGCTCAAACCTGTGGCTTATGTAATGGCCAGAGCCCTCCAGCAAGTCCCTGAACCTTGAGGTTCCCTCCCCCTCCCACCCAACGGGGATGACATTGGGACACCCCACAGAGCCTGGTGACCTCACTGAGCCGGGCATAGCTGAAAGCATAAAAATACTTGCTTTCAACTAGGTGCGTGCTATGATCCACAGCACACGGAGCCCGGGGCCCCGGCAACGCTCAGCCTGATGTCCGGAGCCCGCCTGGGGGGCGGGAGCTGAGTGATGACGTGCTGACAGGCCGACGTCAGCTCTCACCCTCACCATCATGTCCCTGTGCCGTGAGCGCCAGGACCACAGCCAGAGCACAGGAGCGGGTGGGACCTGCCCTGCCCACCCTGGCTCTCCTCCAGGTGCTCTGGCTGGTGCGGCCACACTGGGTGAGCCTGGGGTGGGCCACCTTGAGGCCCTGCAGATGCTGGGCCACCCTCCCCCATCAGGACTCCTGGGCTTCAAGGCCTAGGAGCCCACTGCAGGGTAAGGTCCAGCTCCTGCCCTTCCCAGCCCTGCAGGTGCAGCCTGGGCCAGCGAGTCCTCCTGCCCCTGAACCCAGGAATCCAGCTCTCCGTACACAGCGGCTCTGGAGTGAGACTGGAGCCTCCACATGCCCCCTGGGGCTGCCTTCTGGCCTCCACGGCTGGCGGAGGCGAGGAGTCCCAGCTGGCCAGGTCACATGCCTGGAGAGCAGCAGAGCTGAGCGCAGAGCCTGGCTGGGGACCAAGCAATGCAGCCAAACTGGCCTCAGGCCAGCGCTATGAGCCACATGATGCCACTAGGGCCTCTCGGACACTTGCCTGGGGACGGAGAGAGAACCAGCACTCGCCTGCCCCTCCTGTGACAAGAACAGAAAGGCCCAGGACTCCTGGGGGACTGGCTTGGTCAGGGGCCAGTCAGACTTGGCAGGACCCACTGCACATCCTTCACAAATGGCCAGGCAGCAAGTGATGGGTCCTCAGGCCTGTGCCCTCTCCTTGGGGAAGGGCGCCTGCAACAACCTCAGGGCCTAGAGATAGGCGGGTAGGCTGCAGCGCTCAGCCAGCGCTGGGGGGACTTGTGCACTGCCCGGCCTGGGACGGAGCTCAGCCAGCACCGTCGGGACTTGTGCACCGCTGGGCCTGGGACGGAGCTCAGCCAGCACCGTCGGGACTTGTGCAC